TTAATTGGCCACGTTTTGATGACGTTTGTTGTGGTCATTGACGAACATCATATTTTGTCCAACCGCTAAATCATTATTCCATCAGTTTTAATGGCCTAACGGAGTGACCAACATTGAAATAAAATGAAAATATTGGTAGATTAACCAAAAGATTTTAAAAAATTTAGATTCTTTGCGATTATATGCCATTTTGATTTTAGTTTATATGTCCCTCTTTTGAAGTGTTCTAACGAAATCATTTATTCTTTTGGCCAGTGTTCTCTTTTAAGGCTTTGCCAAAAACGTTCTAACCACCAAGTCGGGCTTCTTCAATTTGCTCTTTTTCAATTCGAAAATTCAATCCGCGATTGCCCCTTTCTGCAACATTTTTGAAAGTTTATGGTATGAGTAACATAAAGGGCCATTTTCATCTTGTTCACATCCTCGATTTCCTTGATCCATCCAGGCTTACTTTCCAAGGATTTAGACATAAGAAAAAGCATCGAGCATCTAGTTTTGATAATGCTTATACGAAATTTTATTCTAATGAAAAAGGTTTCGTCATATTTTGTGAGGGCTGGCAATTGGGCCGAGTGACTTGTCTGCTCATCTGGACTCGGCCCATGGACTGCTCGAGCTCATTTAGGGACGAGCCCGATCCCGAGCTTGAGCTCGAGCCAAGCCCAAAAAAATTTGGACAAACCGAGTCATTCTAGTAACATTTCAAAAAAGAATATATATTCTGCTGAGTCGAGTGACCAAGCCAAGCTCGTGAGCTCATAGACCGAGTCAGAACTCAGCCCATTAACACCCTATATTCTGCGGATATTTTTATTCATGCAGTTTTTGGCGAAATGTGAACTTAAAATCTTCTTGAATTATGTCTATGATAGAACAGAGTTTTACACTAGAAACAATTCACATATTTCAAATTTCGATCGCATATAAATGTACGATTCAGACTTGGATAACTATTATTATCCCACCATAAACTATGTAGTATACACGTGACAAAGGGGCTCCGTGTCAGACGACTCAGCATTGATTGATAAATTAGATTGGGTCAATTGAATCAAGTCCCATCTTTCTCCTCTATATATATATATATATATATATATATGCAAGCTCATTCAAATCCAAGGTAATTTTTTACATCCTCTAACCAAATCCCCATCTTATAATTTTCTCTTGCACTAAGTATATTTTATTCCGACGGTTGACTTGATCGTCGGAGTATAAAGGATCGTCAAACCTTTTTTTTTGCAATGACCTTTGCATCCTAATGGTGTGTTTAGTGTGCGAGTAAAGCTTAGGTGAATGGGGAGGCGGACAAAATTTTGTTGGCTACATAATTGATGGATTTTCAGGTCAACACAAGTCGTCGTGAAAAAGCATAACCTTACGCCTCATCCAGTTCTTCGAAAAATATAGAAGTAGGAATATATAGAGTCGACTTATAATTTTATTTATGCTCTCGAGTGAAGTGGAAAAATCAACCGCAAACTCCGCAGAATCGCCCAACATCTCTGGACTTCGATTTAAATTGCTGATTGGCTTGGTTGCCAAAATTGCATTGGGATGGTAGGAGCTAGAGGTGTCAATCCAGGTGGGTCGGCTCGGCTCGGCTCGCCAACATATGAGCCTGGTAACGGCCCCGCGTGAAAAAGCCTGCCCGCTAATGGTTTCGGATCGGTCCACAAATTTTGGACAGGTCCGCCCACTGACCCATCATGGTTGAGCCCATACGGGTAGCGGTTCGCGGGTTGTTCTAAAAGTTTTTTATATTGATAGCAAATTTTTTTTGTTAAATGTAAACTAAGAATTGAACAAAATGATAAATTCATATTTATACCAAAAAATGTTAAAATAGAATTCAAATTTAATAATTGAAATTTTACAACTAAATGCATTTCTAATTAAGTGAAGGTATATATTTA